CAAAACATGGGTCACCGAGGGGTGTTGTTTTCCGTGGTTCCAGAGTGGTACGAATCGTGAGGTGGATGTGTAAATTGGCAGAAGGGGATGAAAGAGATTACAGAGGGTCCAGGTGATGTGAGTGCGACTCGCCTTCCAGGATGGGGCTCTGAGCTGGACCGGAGGCGTTGCGAGAAGTCAGTTTCTTTTCAGTGTGTGACTGAGCGCTTGGAGGTGTAGGTATCTCGTAATTCTTAAGGTACGTTGGAACCAGGGCTCTCCATCATTCACTGTCCTCTCTTTTTTCATTCAAGGATTTTGAATATAATTAAACTTGTTTGATTTTAAGTTCAAATATTTAGTTAAATAAGCTTTTTGATTGTGTGGCAACGCATCAGTGTCAACACTGACGCTGTTGTCTCTGATGACAGATGATGATAGGTCACACGGTTAGAAATAGCCTCGTGCCACATCAGTTGGGTTGCCTTAAGTAAAGCACAGAGCAAGGTGGATAAGCAAGAAGCTGCTGCTGACGACATTCTTTCTTTTTCACGTATTCGTTCTTCTCCCCCTCCTCATGATAGGGGCACATCCGCATGCCCACTTCTAGACGAACAGATGAGTTCACCATCCCTTATAATTTGCTGCAATATTTAGACTAAACTAGGGTACCACGGTAGCAGACACATCGAAATCACCCTTCTAACCCAGAAGTTCAGTTCACCTGACAGTCCTTAACGTTCCAACTCTGAAATGAACTGGACAACAGGCCGCTTTTGTTTATACGCTAAACTCAATATCTGCAGACGTGTTCTGTCTCCCTGAAAGAGGAATCAAGTCCCAAGTGCCATTGTTCAGCTGAACTCACCGGCGCATCTCTGATAACACAAAGGCTGCCGCGAGTGGCTCCACCTGGACTGCTGTTGTTTCAGGCCACCGAGCTGAAGGTTGCCAGTTTGACTGGATGTCAGTGGATAGTTGCTTGTGTCCGGTTTATCTGGCAGGCTCCGTGGAAGCACGCAGCAAATCCAGCGACAATGGTCGCCTATTTATCGTATCTGCTTATGTCCCCCACATACTGAAGATCTGATAGTCCCAAAAGCAGCTCTTACAACGTTTTACACGTTTTATTACGGTGGAATAAGAAGTCTCATATTGCGTGTGACTGGGACAGACATGTGCCGCTAAGACTCACTTGTGTAAACTTCTTGAAGTAGAACCTACTGACACACTGAGGCCAGTCTAACTCAATTCAATTAACTTTATCAGCTACAAACCATTTACTAGAGATACACTGATTTCAGCTACTACAGTTTCCCTAACCGGAAAATGGGACAGAGTGGCGGATATAACTAAGTATTGGAGGCGATAGCATGATCAAGTAGAACGGGAAACTGGGCAGCTACGAATTGCGGGTGACAAATCTGATGCCGACTGCGTGACCGAACCATGTATATCAGTGTCAATAAGTTGAGTCCCAAGGTCCTCATCCAGGGAGGTGGCCGTCATCAATAAGACTGAATTTACTGGTTGGTTCCATAATATTTGATAGCCGGACCATAGACTGTCCACCTTTTGGCGGCCGCCACTAAGCGCAGGGCTAGGTGAAAAGAGCTCTGCAAAGCATATGGTCTTGCAGCATGCGGAGCACATTATCTAAGCAGCCTAACCTATGAAGCGTGAGTAACTAATCCACCATGGGGGAATTATAGTTTCTCTATAACTATCTGGCGTGTTCAACTGGTGCTAATACGATTTATGCGCTAGATTTTGGGACACCTCTGCACGTACCGGCCACGTTTCTGATTCATAAAGCAGTATGGATCGTACCACCGTAGTAAGACGTCAAACCGGCGCCGTAGGTTTCGACGACTGCAAAAGCTGCCCTGGTATTCCCGCTTCGAGAAGTAATCTGGTCTCTGGCCAGTTAACCGCAAATCATAGAACTACACGGGCCAAACTTACCTGCAGCATCGGTTAGACGGTCTGGAGTCATGGTGTTTGAATTTGATTTTACGCAGTCTTGTAGTGGCATTCTACAATTCTCTGGTGTAAAGCGCACAACAAACTGTGCGGTAGAATTATTCAGGTTATATAAACGGTTTGTATCTTTCAAGGATCTGAACCACGGCGAACAATATTATCCGCACACTCAATGTCTGGGGGAGACCGCCCCTGGAGTAAAATGTGACAGAGGGTGCGAACACTGAGACCTACAACAGGGATCAAATGTCCTTGGTTTAGTAAGGGATTATTTCGGTTTATTTTACTAGGCGAAAGCTAGGACATGGAATGATAGTTAAATGACTGGCAAATGGATTACCCGATCTAAGGCTGTCACTTTTTCGTGATGGTCTGGCCTCAGTGCTGCAATGATCCTGCGGGCCGGAACTCAATTTCACAAGGTTCGAACATGCCAGGAAAGTTAACGGGGACCACCCCGAAGAGAATAGCTAATCCCGTATTGCAACAAGCAGTGTTGCGAGGTACCTAAACGCACAGTCCTACTGTTCACTGTGATAGTAGTGTAAAGGCAGTAAAGCATTTTCTTCGGACGACCAGCATTTCCATTTTTATGGAACAAATGATTGTACCCCCCCCCCCCCCCCCCCCCGACGGAGGGGTTAAAACGTCAACCCTGAAAACCCCACGCACTGACCGGAGAACGGTTGACGGTTACTGTCAGCGCATTACTCAGTACGCTCGACGACCGAAGAGTCTCATGCTGCTGAGAAGATACCTGGTGTGTGCAACTGCGTTTGGGGCTCAGACATCTATGCCCTACTCCCTGAGTCCTCCAGTTAGGCCGGTACCCTGCAGCTAAGTGGATCAGACTGGCTGCGGAAAAGGACCCTAAAAAACACACAACCACTGTCTCACGCATCAGACTTTTGAGTCAGAGGACAGAGGAAGGGTCCGTCAACAAAACTAGAATTCTTCCAACTACCTTGTGGGCCAGACTTTTGAGTCAACGGCTCAAGATATACCTCAACCCCCCTTCGGCTCGCATAACCGGGGATTATCATTTTCCATTGCATCTCTTCGTTCGCCGGTCTGTGCTCATACTCCCACCACACCCACCGAACGATGCACTACGATAAACCAATCTGCAAGTGGCTTGACCACTGTTTCAGGTACAAAATATCGCCCATAAAAAATAACCCTCATTAATCTTCAAAGATCCTATCTACGTTGCAGCATTCAAAGCCCGTACTCTTTGTGATAATAGACAATAATGTTCCTCACTGAAACTTTGATTTTCCTACCTGTCAATGTTGTGTCTTCGAGACACGCACAAAAAACCCAACTTCAGTTGTGCACATCAAGCTGCTTAGATGTTTTATTCTTCACTCAAAGCAAAGCTCATAGTATCTACGGTGTGCGAGTTGCATTCAGCTCCAGGGCTAAGGGCGCTTTGCTGGACTGGATCCCAGTAAACAAACGTCTCTGGGCTGTGCAGTTTTTTAGCTCGATTGGGAAAACGCGGGCCTATGCTGTAAACGGTGTTTATTTGTCGTACAAGCGTACGCCCCGACAACCTGCAAGTCTGGAAAAGATCTTATCAATATCTGTCACGACTGCTTCGGTCAGCAAGAAGGACAAATATAGAAATCCTGGTGGATGATCTGAATGCCCAAGTTGGATGGCTAAGCCCCGAAGGAGCACAGTCAAGTGACAGATTTGAAATAAATACGGATAATGGGGGGCGACTGTCTGTCCCTGATCAGTACGAACCTCAAACACAAGCGTCTACAATGAGTTAGCTGGAGGCCACCAACCACAAGAGTCATGGAATCAATCTGGACTATGTGGCTATCAGTTATCGATGGAGAGTCGCAAATGAAGATGGTCGTTCCTTCTGGGGTACGCAACTGGACTCTGTTCACGTCATTGTGCCAGCCCGGTTATGATTCCCCTTTCTGTCAGCATTACGCCTGTCAAAGTGCAGCAGTTCCATTAATCAACTTCGACATGTTTCAGTAGCTCGAAGATACCGAGGTGACCTGGCTAGAAAGCCACTGGGAACGTAGTAATGCGGATAACGAAGACTGTTTGGCGGTTGAATGGAAGTGGGTTAAAGGTACCAAGCTATCGGCAGGTCTGAATAGAAAACCGACACCAGTCTACTATCAAAAACAGGAATGCAGCGTCGTACATCGCTCCTTCAACGTAACAAGGTACGAGGCCCGGATGGCCTGCATCCCGCACTCTTCAAAGGGGGTGGTGAGGTCCTGGTGGATGGTTTGACGACCGTACTTCAAAAGATTTGGAACGAAAACAGAATACCAGTGGGAAGAGGTGTCTCGATCATCATCCGACTTCAAAAATGGCACCAGAACGTCGCGCGAAAAGCATCGTGGGGTAAACTTGGTATCCGTCATATCTAAGGTGCTCTCGGTTTATGTATGTTGATCGACCACCGGGAGGGGTAGATTTGTGAGAAACAAGCTGGGTTTCGACCTAGTCGAAAAAGCATGGACCATGTCCTTACCTTGAAACAAATGGTTGAATAGAGCCACTCCTTTAAACGTCTTATGTTGGTCGTTTTTTCCTGATCTAAAATCTGCTTTCGATTCTTCTGATCGTCAGAGACTAAGGCTTTGCCTGGAGATCGAAGGTGTCTTGTAGAAATTTATAATCTCTGAGTGCTGTATGCAAATTCCTGTGGGCACGAACGAATATAAGGCAAGCTTCCGCCTGAGTTCACCACCCGTAGTGATGTAAGACGAGTCTGCTTTGTTCACTATTCCATGTAGGGAAGGAAGGGCAGCCAGGAAGCACTGTGGCTGGTGGGTCTGGCGTTCAGTAGCTCACTTAGAGTTCTCAAGCTGAATGCTTGGAGATTACTTACTACTTTTGCTGTGAAATATAGCAATGAATGTGAATTATCCATTGCGCTGCTACTGGGGGGTCTGTGATTTCTTTCCGCCAAAATAGGAGAAAATACTCTACAGCTTGCCCCCAGTAATTGAAGTTGTGTATGTAAGACTGCCTATAAGTCACAAGAGGGAGGTACGTACCTGCATCACATATAGGGCAATAAGAAGTAAAACACTAGCGACATCGCCTTTTGGACACGTGCCTCCAGCAACTGCAACTTCAGGGGGTGTGGTTGGCTTCGTTTCAACGTCCACAGACATGTTATGGGCTTTTCTTCTTCGTAAGACCATGTTCAAAAATGAAGGAAATTTCGCAAGGAAATTCCACTGAAAACGTAACACAGAACGCATACATCCAAGAGGACGCCGCACGGTCCAGTGAAGGCGGCGATATCAAATAACTTGAAAATATTGGGCTCATTCCGAAAGCATTTGAGTAAGCATTTCGTGTAGAAGCTTTCTTTAAGTGAATTTGCAATCCGAGTGTAGTTCCGGTTGGAAGAACGAGCGGAGAGCAGTCACAAATTACCACAAAGTTCGGAACATTTTCAAGGACCAGTTACGTGTACAAAATTTGCAATGAACCGAACGAGTGCAGAAGGGAGGCAACAGTCAAAATTGGCGCAGGTATACATCAGCCCTGGCGTTCATGCTACTGGTACACATAAACAAACAAATTGGACTGAGCACACTGGACAGATGTTCCATCTGCTGAGTGTGGATAGCGTAAAACCATACACTGCTTCGGAAAAGTGTAAAATGTTGGCCTGTCGGTGTCCGGCTGTATATATGGCCAAAACACAATGTGTATTGATAATAATCTGTTACTATTTCAATTTAAATTTGAATTTCTTATTTTGAATATCACAATCCATTGAATTTTCAAAATTTAATTTGAATTTTGAAATTAATTTCCATTTTTTATTTTTGAGGGGCAGTGAACTTCATACTTGCTGTGCTTTGGCTTGAGATGTGACCACGATTCTTGCTGCATCAATCTTCATTCGGATCTTAGGGTGAAATGTGATGGTGGTTTACACTGAGGGCTAATTTTCCGACGAAGCTGCTGCAGAGAGTTTTCTAATTGTAGTTGGTTAATACAGCCTGCTTTTGATCTATTTCTTCGTCCACCTTGGCCCCAAGTAGCACTATTTGCGAGGTGATAGCTGATCTCTGCCTGCAATGTCCCTAATTAAAAGGTGACTACTCCAGCAACTAAGTTAGTGGTTATTGTTCTGGTGTCAACTGATTTCCGTCTCCTCCGATAAATTATATACAACCGTCCGTTGGATTTACACACCAGGTGCATGGTGTTAGTAGATCGGCGAGCAAAACGCACAATTCCGAGGCCTCCCAATGTGCGTGTTCATTCGTTCCGGGAGGCTATATTATTAGACGCCGTTTTATCAGTGACCGGCCTAACTATGGTTGACAATAACGGAATTATCGGTGCATTTCTCGAAGCATGCGGATCAAAGATGGTGTCTGCTTTCATGCCAGGGAAGTTCGCCAATTCTCCATTCCTGTACAAAACTTTGCTGCGAAGTTCTGTGTGAGAAAAAACGAGATGTACCATTCATGTGAACGCGCCGAAGATGAACGAGCAAGTGCTGACGAATTTACCAAAGAGTGCCTACTGTATCGCACAAACGCTTGAAAATTGCTTGATACTTCGTGTTTGTCGTGGGTCTAACTGTCGGTCGATAACTGTCAAGGTTTGTTTTACATTAATTGATTTATTGATATTTTGCTATGCTATACA